GACGTCATCCTGCTCAGTACCTCATTCCTTCCTGTTCCTCCTCTTCCTCCCCTATCTGATTTCGTTGTCCTTGTGCCGCACACCATCTTCCATCGCTTGAATCCGCCTCCAGTTCCATATCACTCCCATCATGATCCTCCTGATCTTCTGCCTCCGCCCTCTCCTGTTGTTCCCAATCCTCCTGTGAGTTGGGTCCTCGTTTTGAATTCGCAGCGCCGCGCTCCACTCCTCCTCCCCCCTTCTTTCCACGTCCTCCTCATCCTCTTCTCCCTTCTCCCCATCACCATGACCATCATCATCACCATCATCATCCCCACCACCATCACCACCACCATCATCGTCATCACCATCACAATCGCCACCACCATCATCATTCTCGTTACCGTCTCGACGCACCCCTCACACGTTTCGTGACCCCAGAAGGAGCTCCACCGAAAGCTTCAGTGGCAGGGCCCGCATGTGTATTCGGGTCTACTTTGGCACACCCCTCACACATTTCGTGGCCCCAGAGGGAGCTCCACCGAAGGCCCCAGTGGCAGGGCCCGCATGCGTATTCGGGTCCACTTTGGCACACCCCTCACACGTTTCGTGGCCCCATAGGGAGCTCCACCGAAGGCCCCAGTGGCAGGGCCCGCATGCGTACTCGGGTCCACTTTGGCACACCCCTCACACGTTTCGTGGCCCCATAGGGAGCTCCACCAAAGGGTCAACTTTGGTACACCCCTCACACGTTTCGTGGCCCCAGAGGGAGCTCCACCGAAGGCCCCAGTGGCAGGGCCCGCATGCGTACTCGGGTCCAGTTTGGCACACCCCTCACACGTTTCGTTTCGTGGCCCCATAGGGAGCTCCACCACAGGTCCCAGTGGCAGGGCCCGCATGCGTATTCGGGTCAACTTTGGCACACCCCTCACACGCTTCGTGGCCTCATAGGGAGCTCCACCGAAGGCCTCAGTGGCAGGGCCCGCATGCGTACTGGGGTCCAGTTTGACACACCCCTCACACGCTTCGTGGCCCCAGAGGGAGCTCCACCGAAAGTCTCAGTGCCAGGGCCCGCATGCGTACTCGGGTCCACCTTGGCACACCCCTCACACACACGCGTCGTGGCCCCATAGGGAGCTCCACCGAAGGCCCCAGTGGCAGGGCCCGCATGCGTATTCGGGTTTACTTTGGCACACCCCTCACACGTTTCGTGGCCCCAGAGGGAGCTCCACCGAAGGCCCCAGTGGCAGGGCCCGCATGCGTACTCGGGTCCACTTTGGCACACCCCTCACACGTTTCGTGGCCCCATAGGGAGCTCCACCGAAGGCCCCAGTGGCAGGGCCCGCATGCTTACTCGGGTCCACTTTGGCACACCACTCACACGTTTTGTGGCTCCATTGGCAGTGCTCGCATTGTGACTCGTGTCCCTCCTTGCATGTCCCTTGCGAGCATGGCGCAGGATCGCCCGCGCAGTCTAGCTCAGAGGTGAGGTCGCCCATCGGGCCCTCTGATCACTCAATGTTCATGACCACGAGCATGATGCACGATTACCGGCGCGATTTGGCTCGGAGGTGAGGTTGCCCATCGGGCTCTCTGATCATTCCCGCTTCTTGACCAGCATGGCGCATGATCACCGGCGCCCTCTGGCTCAGAGGTGAGGTTGCCCATCGGGCCCTCTGATCACTCCCGATTCTTGGCCGCGAGCATGGCACAGAATCACCGACGCGGTTCGCTGATGATGATGATGATGATGATGATGATGATGATGATGATGATGATGATGATGATGATGATGATGATGATGATGATGATGATGGGTGATGATGATGATGATGATGATCATGATCGCATGGGCGGCGCACAATCCAGCTCGGAGCAGAGAGAAGGAGCGGAGAGGAAAAATCGAGTGAGCGTCGAGGCGGGTAGTCTGCCTGGCCTCAACCGCCACGCGCATGTCTGCCATTGCTGGGGACACATACGTGCTTCGGAAAGAGTACGGAGGGAAAAATCGAGTGATCGGCGAGGCGGGTAGTCTGCCTGGCTTCAACCGCCACACGCATGTCTGCCATTGCTGGGGACACATACGTGCCTCGAGTTCCCAATCCTCCTGTGAGTTGGGTCCTCGTTTTGAATTCGCAGCGCCGCGCTCCACTCCTTCTCCCCCCTTCTTTCCACGTCCTCCTCATCCTCTTCTCCCTTCGCCCCATCACCATGACCATCATCATCACCATCATCATCATCCCAACCACCATCACCACCACCATCATCGTCATCACCATCACAATCGCCACCACCATCATCATTCTCGTTACCGTCTCGACGCACCCCTCACACGTTTCGTGACCCCATAGGGAGCTCCACCGAAAGCTTCAGTGGCAAGGCCCGCATGTGTATTCGGGTCTACTTTGGCACACCCCTCACACATTTCGTGGCCCCAGAGGGAGCTCCACCGAAGGCCCCAGTGGCAGGGCCCGCATGTGTATTCGGGTCTACTTTGGCACACCCCTCACACATTTCGTGGCCCCAGAGGTAGCTCCACCGAAGGCCCCAGTGACAGGGCCCGCATGCGTATTCGGGTCCACTTTGGCACACCCCTCACACGTTTCGTGGCCCCATAGGGAGCTCCACTGAAGGCCCCAGTGGCAGGGCCCGCATGCGTACTCGGGTCCACTTTGGCACACCCCTCACACGGTTCGTGGCCCCATAGGGAGCTCCACCAAAGGTCCCAGTGGCAGGGCCCGCATGCGTATTCGGGTCCACTTTGGCACACCCCTCACACGCTTCGTGGCATCATAGGGAACTCAACCGAAGGCCTCAGTGGCAGGGCCCGCATGCGTATTCGGGTTTACTTTGGGACACCCCGCACACGCTTCGTGGCCCCATAGGGAGCTCCACCGAGAGTCTCAGTGCCAGGGCCCGCATGCGTACTCGGGTCCACTTTGGCACACCCCTCACACGTTTCGTGGCTCCATAGGGAGCTCCACCGAATGCCCCAGTGACAGGGCCCGCATGCGTATCCGGGGTTACTTTGGCACACCCCTCACACGTTTCGTGGCCCCAGAGGGAGCTCCACCGAAGGCCCCAGTGGCAGGGCCCGCATGCGTATTCGGGTCCACTTTGGCACACCCCTCACACGCTTCGTGGCCTCATAGGGAGCTCCACAGTGCTCGCATTGTGACTCGTGCCCCTCCTTGCGTGTCCATCACGAGCATGGCGCAGGATCGCCCGCGCAGTCTAGCTCAGAGGTGAGGTCGCCCAGCGGGCCCTCTGATCACTCAGTGTTCATGACCACGAGCATGATGCACGATTACCGACGCGATTCGGCTCGGAGGTGAGGTTGCCCATCGGGCTCTCTGATCATTCCCGCTTCTTGACCAGCATGGCGCATGATCGCCGACGCCCTCTGGCTTAGAGGTGAGGTTGCCCATCGGGCCCTCTGATCACTCCCGATTCTTGGCCACGAGCATGGCACGGAATCGCCGACGCGGCTTGGCTCAGAGGTGAGGTTGCACATCGGGCCCTCCGATCACTCAATGCTCTTGGCCGTGAGCATGACGCATTCTCACCGACGCGATTTGTCCAGGAGGTGGGGTTGCCCATCGGGCCTTCCAATCGTATTCAATTCCTGACCACGAGCACGGCACATGATCACCGACGCGCTTTGGCTCAGTGGCGAGGTTGCCCATCGGGCCTTCGAATAATTTTTCCAGAATATGCTGTTGGGGTAACAGAGTACCATCGCCATTTTCTCGAATTCAGCTCCTGGGTCACCATCCTGAAAGGTGCCACTATCGCAAATGTTCAAAAACATGTTGCCCGTATACAGAGAGTGGCTAAGGGCATCTCGGGTTTTCGTCGACGCAGAGCGCCATCGCCAATGTTTTTTTTTCAAGTTCGCTTCTTCGATCACGGTTTTGAAAGGCGCCACTATCGCAACATTTTATTTGAAAAAAACATGTTTTACATGTTTTTGTTAACAGAGCACCATCGAATATTTTTCAAATCCAATCGCTATGTCACCATTCTGAAGGGCGCCATTATCACAATTTTTCCAAAACTTGTTTCCCGTTGACAGAGAGTTGCCAAGAACGGCCGCGTTTGCGTTCGTATTTAGGTGGAAATTGACGATGAGTTTCGTTTTCCGTGTAGGGTGGTCCGCATTCACGTACGCTCGTTCTGTTTACTGGTGTAATTACAGATTCGCATATGTTTGCTAACACCGTGAAGGAAACAAGTTGATTTACACACCTTCCCGATTTTGGAGCTGATTTGTGGGGGGGGGTGTTGCTTTTGCTGTGTTCCTAGGGCGCATCGGAAATTAACCCGGTCGGTTTGTTGCGTTTGCGTTGCCAACGTGCTACTGATTTGTTGGATTCTTTTGAAATTCGGGCAAAGCACGTCGGCAAAAAAACCGCGCCATTGAGGCGCCACGTGTATTGCTTTTGCGTTACCCGGGTAGGGTTGTCTGCATTCACATACGTTCGTTTCGTTTATTGGTTTATACAAATTCGTATATGTTTGCTAACAACGTGTAGAAAACAAGTCGATTTATACACCTCCCCGATTTTGATGATGATTTGTGGTGTGTGTGTGTGTTGCTTTTTGGCGCTTTCCTATAGCAGTTACGGAAGGTGAACATGTGCATTCCTTGGCCACGCACCTTCGGAGTAATATGCATTTCGCATATCGTGTCAGAAAATGCGCGAATGAAGCAGTTCGAAAACGCGCCTCCTAGCCGCCCACACAAAGTTCAGACCCGCCATTTTCATCAAGATCCCGGCTGCACCGCCCTCCTCATCCTGTTCCTTCTGCCCCCGCTTCTCCTGCCTGTCCTCGTCGTCGTCGTCGTCGTCCTCCTCCTCCTCCATTCTACATTTCCTACCCCGACGACGACTGTGACGAAAATCGCGACGACGACGACGGCGACGACTACGGTGACACAGTGCGTACCGCAACGGCGTCCTCAGAGAACCACGTGTCGACCTCGCTTCTTTGGGGGCTGTCAGTTGGGAGCTGTGACC